TATAACTTTTTCTCTGTCTTATTTTAACGTCCACGTCTAATGTCCATTTCTACCAATGTAGATTAACTTTAATCTCGATTCTTCTTGCTCTTTATCTTTTTCTAATTTCTAGAGCAGAAAAAAGATCGTTGTCTGTCCTGGTTTTGTTGCTGGTAGGCAGCTGTGTAACAACAGTCTTGCTGATGCCTAACCATTTGTAAGAGCTACTACTATAGTCTACTGTATCATAGAGGAAGGTTTCCTAAAGCGACATCCCCTTATTTCTTAGAAACTAACCTTTGCATCTTATTAATACCTACTAATAAAAACGTGATCTATTTAGCTAATTAAAGAAGTACAAATTCATAATTCATATATTTGTAGCTTATTTCTATACCAAATCAGCTAAAAACAAATTCTATGAATCCGAGAAGAAAATTTTTACGGTGTTCTTTTGCAAATTGCGTAATTAAAATAATAGTGATTGTATTATTGATAATATTATGTCATTTTAAATATTTATAGTTTCATAAATTAGTTTTCTTTACAGAATAGGATATATCTTTATTTATAGAATAGGAATGTTGGTATTATTACTGTGTCAATTTTGGAGTCCATTTTGTCAGACGTTCATTTTTGCATAACTTACGAAAAACTTAATTATTGCAAAATTGCAAACAGCATTATAAAAACTGTTTATACTATCTGATAGAAGACACTTTTTATATTGTGGCGGTAACTTTGAGTTGGTTAGGCCGGAAAAATGATTGACGGATCGTGATCGATTCGAAGTATGATCGACCGCAGGGTTTCGTCCTGGTCCCCACTACTGGACTCATCAGTAAGGCAATGTAGTGGGACCTGCCTTAGACGCCCGAGAAAGTATTAGATCGGGATCTTATTTAAACGGAATTCGTGTAACTGGGGTGCTTACGAGAATCCGCGCGAGACCCGTGAGACTTCTGGGGGCGAGTCGCCACATTATATTTATATTTTTGAAGTTGTATTTTTACCTTTTGTTTAAGAAATATTGTCTAAAAACAAAGTGGTATATCGGTGATCTTCGTCTATTTTATGTTTACGTCTATTACTCTGTCAATATGTAGTTTTAGAGCTTTGCAATAAACTAAATTAAATTAAATTAAATTAAAAAGATGAAGAATTAGTTGAACCAAGATTAAAGTTGAATTACATTGTTAAAAACGGGCATAATTGTAAGATAGATATTTCATTCTCTGCCATCAGTTATATGACTATACGCGTCCATACGTTTCCCGTCAAGTTTACTCGAAACTAGATTGTCAGAACATGCAAATATCTGTCGGTTTCGAAACTTCCCGACACAACAACCAACCGGCAACTCGGGACATTTGAACGGCGTGGCGCGCGGAGATCCGAATGAACGATGGAACTCGAGAGCAAAAAGCTCGCGAGACGATGCTATCTGTAACGTGAGAAAATGGGTTTTCCCTATTAACCGATCTTGTTACGTGGCGCGTGTGAATGTACGTTCATTGTTACCGGAGAACACCGAAGCTGGTATCGAAGGTATTAATAAATAGGTCGCGATCGTCGGTCGACAGCTGAGGAATTGGTATACCTATCGCATTCTCGATTCCGGGACGGTGTGTGTTATTATTAGCAACGTTTGTAATAACAGTTCTTTGTTATTGGACTATCGATCGTTGTCGGTAATGCCAGGTATGTGAATTCGCGTTCGTAAGTTATCGGAGAACATTGAACTGGTTTCGTGGAGAAGTCAACCGGCTGCATATCTTTCACACGGCCTGAATTGTTATCGTCTTCGATTTCCTGCAGTGTTTCTTCATATCGATAATTTCTAAGTAATTACAAACATTTCGTCAATACAAATTTTGAAAAGTTAAACCAGAAACACATAGAGAAACAGTAGGCAATAAAATATAAGCAGTAAGCGAATTGGTCAATCACAACCAACATAGAGAATGTAAGATAATAATCTTACGTTCTCTACTTTGAATTGAGTAATTTGCTTACTGCTTACATCTTATTGCCTAAAGCGACGTTTACAATGAGATTTGAAGGCGTATAACTTAAGCTTTAAGCCTTAATCCGTAAGAAATCGATCATTCACAGTCGAATGTGAGAAAAATGATCGACTATGATTGGTCGGTTTAATGTTTTACGGTTTAAAGTTTAAATTTTACGCTTCAAAATCACATTGTAGCCGCTTTAGAGCGGAAGCACAGAGTCTTGCATAATGCATAAGAAAATGAATCAATCAAAGTCCTTCATTTTCTTCCTTTTATATAAATAAAAGACTGGTTAATTTTTTTGTGCCTTATGCAAGAATCTGTGCTCCTGCTCTTATATTTTTATATATGCCATGGACCTTAAATTACAACGTTAATTACCCCGAGAAGATGGAACAATTGTCATTGTTGAGTTTTAAGTGTAGTAATATGGGAATTGAAGTCTATTAGCGGTTTAGATGCAAGCAAAACTCGAGTAACACGGCAAATTCTTGATACCGAGAATACGTATGTTTGCCTTACGGGAGAAGAAGGAGTCTTTACTGCAGTAAATGCGCGCACCTGGGTATTACTAACAGAATTTCTTAATGCAAGAGTGCGTGCGTGCGTGCGTATGACCGCAAAGAATGCTCGGGAAGTACTTAGATAATACGCTTGCGAGAAAGGCAAGAGTAAACATTAGGAACTCTTACGCCGACAATTTTGAAATCCGACAAAGAAATACGAGATAGTCTAAGAGAATACATAGTAAAGATCTAAGTGCCGCTTACCGTTTGCCACAAATTGCCAGTTTGCGCCACAATAATTCCAATCATTTTTCCCTGAATGGTTTATTAAGCGATGTTTTTTTGATATCGGATGAATTGCAATTGGATGAATTGCATTCTTGGAAAAATTACGTGATTATTGTAATATTAGAGAAAGCGGAAAGAGATAAGTAAATTTCCGTTCTATGCAAATTAATTTAATCGATAAAGTAATTTTGCAAACATTTTAATTGTAGCCAGTTAAAATTAATGACGTTAATTATAATTGTTAAAAATAAATAATGTTAGAAATTTATAGCATGTGAAGCCGCTATAAATCGGGTCATTGTCTTCTATTACGAATATTATATGAATCTGCGAAACGAAATCCACGGTATCAATTAATCCTCGCTAAATCCGCGCATCCGACGTGCTCGATTAGATGATCTAATGAGTAAACTCGCGTGAAGCGGCAAATTAATAAGGCACGCTCGCAGGAATCCAATTAGGATATGGAAATTAATTCGATGCGAAGCGGCTGATGGGGAAAAAAAACTGAAGACTTTCACTGCACGTAACATCGCGCGTACGCCGGTTTTCCCACAATATTTCGAGACTTTTACACTTTCGTAATTTCCGATACTCATTAGCGGAAATTCCTTGACGAGTTTTCCTTGAAGAAGTTATAAAGAACTATGCCCAGTTTGGGTCCCGGCTGAACAGCACTGAGACCTAGCTAGGATTGTAGAGCATCAAAAAAGGATTGAAAAGTTCCATATGCACAACTTTGTAAAATGAGTCCCTTGAGCTGTTCAAAGTTCGTTATTATGTATTGTGTATGTAGGTGTACCATGTAGGACTGGTTTTATTCGAGATTTCTCTAATCATCTAGTATCTGGAATATGTCCAATCTTGACGAAGACAACTAAACCCTTTTTTGGATCCCAAATGAATAGTTATAAGTGATATATATTAATCGATGAAGAGGGTAGAGGGAAGTGAATACTCAAAGTGAAGTATGAAACAAAAGGTTTTAATTGTCTAATTGAAATATGGTCAATATATATTCTAGGAGCACTCAGGAAACCTCTCCTATAAAGTTAGGCTTATGGAATTTTTTATTCTCTTTTGATACCTTAAAATTTTAGGCATGTCTCAAAGTTGTTCATCCGGGGCCCAAATTCCCCTATAAAACTGGGCATAGTCCTTTGTGCTACCGGCTACATAACAGTTCAGATAAATCGGCTAATTGCGCGCAATAAACTGGCTCTTTATCGCATCCTCGAAAAAAATATCGTCGTAGCATCTAAGAATTTTATTTTACGATTGATTCTTTATCTTTGATTATTCTGATTAAAAGTCGAAGAAAAATATTTATGAAATCTTCTCTAAAAGATGCATAATTAGGCAGAATTGATGAATATATTATGAAGTCGCAAATTATTAAATTGTTTTAAATGTTTAATGTAAATATTTTTGAATTATTAATTTGATTACGACGATATTATTCCAAGATTGATATTTACAGTATCTTCTGAAAGAGAAAAAAAAGAGATTATTATAGTGCGATCGAAGATACAGGCGAAAAACGTTCGCAACTGGTTTATTAAAATGACGATGACGCTTGCGAAATGTTAACGTCGTTATAATTCTACTACGACATGAGGAATTTATCCTTGCTGTGCTCGCTAAAATATCGTATACATCGGTCACGATGAACGACGCCGACGTGTTAATACCGAGCGGGCACCGTTGCCTACGTCGGGGATTAAAGAAGTATCCCAGTATCGATAAGAAATTGTGGGATGCGAGCAGCAGATGGATACTGCAATGGGATAATATAGTGAAGCATCCGGGTGCAAGGGCGAGAGGATGTCACTGCGACATCCACAAGCCGCCTTGGCTGTATCCAGATTTAGGTATATGAATTATTTCTGCTACACGAAAGGATCATCGTGACATAAAGCGGTTGTGATATTAGTTGATGATACAAATATTTTTAAAGCGGTGATGTCAATAATTTTTCTAAGTATGTGCTAAAAGCCTACGTTACATTTTGTAATAAAATAAGACATATTGATTTAAAATCCAAATTAAATTATAGAATATAATAAAGTACAATTTTCTGTTAATTATTTTGCTTCTAAATATTTTATTTCTTCTTTTAAGAAGTTTGCAATTTCGAAATCTTCTAATTTATTTTCGAAACTAATAAGAAAGATGTACCAAGTCGCGATTGTGACAGTTTGTTTTCTTTTTTCAGTTGGCAAAGATACCGACGAACTTGATCGAGCAGCGGTAAGTGTCGAATCCGAAAAATCAGCTTCATTGCATGTTTATAAATAGAAATAACGTTTTGAAAAACAAAAACTACTTGTCTATTGCAGATCAAATCGGCTCCCGTTAAAAGGCTTAACATGCCTCCGAAAAGAGGTCAATTTGGGCCTGCTAGAACACCATCCTCTGCCTTAGGTATATTTAAATATTATCGAATTCCATGTCACATGTCATCTTAATTATTATTACAATTTATATCACAAATCTGATATTCTTAATTTTATTTCTTATTTTTTTTGGAAGCATGATATATGGTAAAAGTAACAGTGAAGTTTCTCTAAAATCGTTTTCTTTAGTAGCTGTTTATGCAAATATGTAGCAATATATGTTAATATTCGTGGAACGAGTTATTTTTACTTTATCAAACTTGCTAGACGTATTTAGATAGAGTGTAAATATTAAACGTCGATATTTTTAAATTATATTGAAACGATGATACATAGCAGTGCTAGTTTATGTCGTATAAATCAAGCTTTTTATGTAATCAATTGTGTCGTGTATTTTACCTGAGATGTGTCTCTTCGTCTTCCATCCGAAATATACATGAATGTCATGACTCAGTATTGACTCGAATATCACAGAAGCACCGGTCTGCAAATGAAGCGCACGCGGGAAATATGTGCCGTAATCCTTACTTACGCTTAGTTTTAACCGCAATGCGGCTTTATTTTTGCATTTTGTTAACAATACATTGTCAGAGAAACTCGCCAGCAAAAGGTCAACGTATGTTGACGTTTCGATGACGAGGATATGCTAACTGTTCGCTTGCATGAAACAGCTCCTCCTGGTACTTCATCCTATTCAGTCCCAAGGGCAGCGACCGTCAAAAGAACTCAATCAGTAAGATCGACCTCAGGTATATCTAAATTCTACTATTGGCAATTACTATTTTAGAAAATATTTTGGAAAGTCCAAAGATGTTTTCGATCAAGAGAAAATGATTACATAGATAATCGCGCGATACAATTCAGAATCTTAGATGCGAATAAATTCTGCAACGCAGAATTTTGTTAATAAATCATCAATTCCTTAGAATAATAAATACCCTTTGCGTTATTGCTTCTTGATCACTCATACAGCTTCTCATTTGTAACTTTTGATATGTAACTATAATACATACAGTGCTTATTTATTACATGCAGTCAGCATTTTTGTTTATGTGTAATGCATTTCGCGACCGCTTGAGCATTATTCACAGCAATTTATAGCAATTCATAGCAATCTATGTAATTTAGAATTAGTTTCATAATCATTCACAATTTCTGAAAGTGCAAAGAATGAAAAGTATAGTTCTTTAGCGTACATGTGTATTTCCGTATCGAAGCGAACATGAAGAAAACTATCATTACTTATGTTCAGCGCAAGCCGGAGCCGTTGACGAAGAATGCTTTATTACTGCATTCGAGGACGTACCTACCATTAATCTATTCTCAGCAAAAGATCTCGAAGAACAGATGAAGAGTATCAGGGATACCGTGGGTGACGATAAAAAGGATTGGAAACAAAGAATGGATAGCGTATGTATCGCGAGAAAACGAGATTATCTTTCTTCATGGCTTAACGATATTTTTTATCCGTTGTCTTCTTGCTTTTCTAGATGAGAAAGTTAAGAGCCATTGTACTCGCAGGTGGCACTAATTACGAAAATTTCCACGAGTGCCTAAAGAGCGTACAGCGACCGTTCGATCAGGCCTGCACCGACCTTAGATCCCAAGTAGCGCGAGAAGCGTGTATAACTCTCGCTTTTCTGAGTCAGAGCCTGAAGACCAAATTCGCCAGTTTTGGCGATATGGTTTTGCTCACGTTAATGAACCTCATACAGAACAGTGCCAAGGTAAGTCTCACGGAATGCTAGATCTCTGCTACATTTAGATACAATTATTGTCTAAATTGCTGTATCGAGTGTTAATTGCACATCTTTACGACGAACGTCATACCTCATAGAGTCTTACGTCGTTCGCATGTCCGTTAGTTTTTATGTAATCTCCATAAGAGGTAAGAATTTAATTACTCTTGCCATTTTCAACTAGGTCGTAGCGACAGCCGGAGCGGTGGCAGTTCGGTTTATCCTTCAAAATACCCACTGTTCTCGATATGTGCCTATTATTATATCGTGCGTGAGCAACAAGAGCAGAGATATTCGTAGAGCGTCTTGGGAATATCTGGCTTTAATCCTGCAGACCTGGCCTACGCAGATATTGCAGAAGCACATAACAATATTGCCGGACGCACTTAAAAAGGGCATCGCGGATTCCGACGCAGAAGCACGAGTCTTCGCCAGGAAGTGAGTAGTCCTTTGCAGCCGAATTCTAATGATGCCTACCTTCATTTGAGATCAATTTAATAATTTATTAATTTTTATCACTTTTTATAGATCATACTGGGCATTTAAAAATCACTTTCCAGAGCAGGCTGAAATACTACTTAATAATTTGGACGCGACGTATAAACGCTCCTTGATGTCTCTTAGCAATAGTGGTAGTAGTAACAGCTTAAATGTCATGGCTAATATGAGATCGTCGAGCGTTAGTCCACGTACAGCCAGACCCGTGATGAGCGCGGCAGGTAAAGACTTTCTGCTTGTTTATTACTGCGATAAAACGTTCCATTAAAACGGATTACGTTGCAATTGAATGTATTAATGTTACTCGTGCTGCGATCTTGATATAAAATACTTGTCACTCTGTTTTCATGCTGCTTTGCGACTTCTCTTTACATTAAACATATGAAGGTAGTACGGAAAATTTGCATCAGACCACGGGTCAACCGCACGGTCCGCTCAGACGTACTCCGTCCTTGCCTCGGTCTTATCGTCAATCTGGTATCCCGATACTACAAAGACCAACAGATAGTCATTGTAATTGTTCTATCGTCATTTCCTTCAGAGATAAATCGCACTTTGTATACGTTATGTCACACTTCAAGGAAAAATGCACAAACGGAACTGTTGTTGTCTTACGTTGATTTCCTTTTTTAATCTTGCACAGAAGTTGTAAAGTAGAAATTGCATGAAGCTAATACCACAGAATTAATCCGTTTTATAATTCTACAGACCGAGGTACACCAGGAGTTAGATCTACCAGCGCAATTGATTTGCAAGCTGCTCAAAGGGCGAAAGTGAGAGTGATGTACGCGAATATGAGCAGACAAAAAGCAGCGGCACTTCGTGAGTAATATTTTATTAAATTTTATGAAGTCAAATGATCAAATTGAACATTAAACAACTCTTTGTTATTATATATGCAATAAACTGTACCGTTTTGTATTATTTCAGCTCGTCCTACTAAATGCCCGGATCCCAATGCGATTGCTAGCCCAGAAAGAGTTGCAAGGACGAGGACAAGAGTGGCGGGAGTTTCACAATCTCAACGTACGTTTTGTAATTTTCTGTAAAAAAAAAGAAAACGTAACGGAGAATTATTAACGAAAATTGTTTTCCATAACAGCTAGCAGTAGATCGGGTTCCCCGTCGTCTAGATTAAGTTACGCCACGTACAATCGCGAAGGTGAATCACTGATAGGCAGACCAAGGCGATTATCCGGACATACTATTGGCAGCACAAGCAACAGTCGTGAACCGAGTCCGCAGAGATTTGGGAGCAAACTAAGGTAAGTACAACAATTCCGTTTACCGAAAATGTTGTAAATTTGTACAGTTGTGATACGAATTATTTGAATTGATAGAGGGAGGAATCTACACATGTCGCCAACGGACAGCACTAGACCACCAGTGATGGCGCAGAAGATGCTGCAGAAGTCACGCGAAGCGGAGTCTGCGCTGGCGGATGCTTTAACCTTCGACAGTATCGACAATTACACCAGAATACCAGGCAACAAAGGGGATCATAGTGACGACAGCGAAAACAGCAGTATATGTTCGGAAAGAAGTATAGACGGTTTTAGACGAGCCAGTGATGTAAGTGCAAGTTTTATTAGTAAATCAAAAAAATAAGAAAGTGACGCACATTCGTTGGCTTTAGTATTGAATTTTTGTTACTTCGATCGAAACATGGACATATATCACATTACAGAATCGAAGTTACGTAATATGTTTATTGTTAAATTAATTTTTTCTTGTAAGCTAGCACACACACGTTTACAAAGGAGAAAATGACGAACACTCACGCATATTATCTCATGTGTCATATGCTATTAATATTACGAATTTACACATTTTTATATTATAATTAATAAATTTACCGCTTTTTATAATTGATTGGTTAATGCTTATATACAATACTTGGATTTTATTTCAATTTTAATGGCACGCAAATTAATACGTAAATTTCAAAATTTTGACTATTTTAGTTTTATAATTTAACAGAAAATATATTTGTTTGTTAAGATATAAAATGTGTCAAGTTATTTTACAATTTTATATTGATTATACGAATCAAATTTTTATTATAGAAAACAGAATACTTCAATGAAGCTTTTAGCACTGTATGATAATGTAGCTAATGCATGGTTTTTTCACTTTTGGTTTTGTTGCGGCATATTTGTTTGGTTTGGACTAACGCGACACGCCGTTCTGTTCTCCATATCTGTCCATCGCCCATCTACCCATTAGTCGTTCTCATGGAGTGGCTCTCAATCGAGATTATACCGTGATCCATGGGATCAGTCTATCCCAAAGGTTTGTTAAATTACTTTTTTTTTTCATTTCTGCTCATTGAAATAAAACTGACTTATTAAATATTTGTAAATCGATTAATACAGCAATTTGTATGTTAGCATTAAAAAAGAAAAGAATATTATTTTGAGAACATTCTTTTTGTTATCCATTATTTTGCATCAAGAATATTTCAGAATATAGTTATGAATTAACATTAATATTTGAAAAGCAACACGCAGCAATTTTTTCTCATTTTACAGGACATCAAAGAGATTATTGAAAACTGTGCTCATAAACATTGGGGAGACAGAAAAGAAGGTTTAGTGGGTTTGCAACATTATTTGAGCAACGGAAATACTTTGACAACAACAGATTTGCGTAGAGTGACAGATATTTTTACGAAAATGTTTATGGATTCTCACACCAAGGTGTTTAGTTTGTTCTTGGACACGTTGAACGAACTACTAATTACTCACAACGAAGGTCTTGGCGATTGGTTATATGTTTTATGTGCAAGGCTTCTCAACAAGTTAGGCACCGATCTATTGGGATCTATACAAACAAAGATACACAAAACGCTTGATGTTGTGAGGTAAGAATTCAACGATTTTTATTCACGTAATACTGTATCATTTGCATCATCGAGTTATTGTGATTATTAAATTTTAATATTCACGTATACATAATGATTTGTCCAGAGATTGTTTCCCGGGCCAACAGCTTCTACCAGCTGTGATGAGGTATCTGACAGATCCAACCCAAACACCAAATTCTCGCGTGAAAGTAGCAGCATTGACTTTTATCACGCAGATCACTGAAACGGCAGAACCATCCGCGCTGGGCAGTTCTGCAGCGACAGCACTTGCACGACTGCTCGACTGGTCGAATGACGGCAAAAGCCACGACGTGAGAAGACATGCGCAAAACGCTGTGATATCACTTTATAATCTTAATCCGCCTCAAGTTACTATGATACTCTCCGAATTACCAAAATACTATCAAGTGTGTTGAATGAGCTAATTATTAACTTACTCATCAGCGTTTTCTCAAATCGTGCTGAATCATTGTTTTTCTTTTTTTTTTAGGAAACAGCCTGGCCTCTAGTGCAGAACCATTTAAGGAAATCTTCCACTTCTAGTACTCCGGCATCACCTGGTACGCCACCGCCTAGATCGCAGAATTCGCCCGCTCGAACGAAAGCGAAAAACGATGTTAAAGCGGACAAGACTGAAATCGATGGAGGAGACGAGAACTTGGAGGAAGTATATAAGTACGTGGACAGCGTTCCGTCATGTTAATTTATTTGCAACACTGAATCTAGACATATTTTATAATTAAACATAATGAAACCTAACATCCTAATTTTTAAACAATATTAAGTATACTAATTTTTGAAGTTCTTCCTACAGATCTCTACGACGCACGACCGCCGAAATCCAAAATTACGGCTTCGAACGTTTAGAGAGAGCCACCACCAGCAAAGATAGTGGTATCAGCAATATGGCAGATGTAGAGGAGAGAATGGAAGGTTTGACGTTATCCAATTCGGTAAGCTTAGTAAGATAATATCGTGACAAAACAAGAATGAGTTACGATGAGATTATCCTAATTATTATTTTCAGGGTCGATCCTCGTCCGTTTCCTCACCGACGCAACGAGGACGGTCTGTTAGCAATATAACGGTAAATGGATCTGATACAATTGCCGGTGATTTGATTCTACCTCAAGAGAACAATGGTTATAAAACGCACGGTATGTGTTTTATTTTTTCAGAAAAAAATCTGTGTATGTAAAATTGAAGTATTTTACATTATTTTATATACAGGATCATCACCAGATTCAACAAACAGACCAGAAATCGTGGATAATATGGTTAAAACTCTGCAATCTAAAGTAGCACAAACTACGGAAAAAGTATCGGCGTTGCAAGAATTTCAACTCTATGTCCGCGAAGGCGATTCGTCATATATTAAACGAAATTTCAAGTACGTCACCATGTTACAACTCACGCGTATCTTAAGGCTCGTTCCTACTAGAGTTGATCGTGGTGATCGGGAATTAGCTTCTTTTTCTTCTTTTACAAAGAAGAAGCCGATATATCAGTAGCGAGCGACTTTAACGCGACATTTTAATCCTGGTGATTTAACGATTCTTTGATATTTCAGGAAAGTGCTCAAAGTTTTGTTAGACAGTTTATCCAATGACGGCAAAGTGATACAAGTTGAAGTGCTACAAACGCTGATCGATATGCTTAAGTGTTCCGAGTTGATAGAAAGCTTTTCCTCTTACAATGAGTTATTAATATTGAAAGTTATTTATGCCTACAAGTCAGACGATCAAAAGGTCGATTCTTCCAGCGGTAGCGGTGGCAGATCTCCAGTGAGTATTAATTCCGTTTAATTTTTTAATTAACAAATTAATAGTGTTACATATCTATGACGTTATATATCATTAACAGGTTCATTGGAATGCGGAAAAATGCGCGGCGACAATGGCCATGGTTTTAAAACCGGAACAAATTATCCATTTGGTCTCCACTATAATTGCTACAGAGTCATACCCATTGAATATGGGCGCGATAAAGATGTTGCACAAGGTGGTAGAGCATTGGGGTCGAGATGCTATTGAACCTCATCTTGCCAAAGTTATGCCTGGTCTTATTAAGGTGAGAAAAGTTGATGAAATTCAAATTTGTATTTAACACATTGTATTATGTACTGATTGTATTTTTCTTTGTATTATAGGCTTACGATGACAATGAGAGCGCGGTTCGTAAGAGCGCAGTGTTTTGCATGGTGGCAATCCACGTCGCGGTCGGCGAGGAGGCGTTGAAGCCGCACCTAAGTTGCTTGTACTCCAGTAAGCTCAAGCTACTGAACATCTATATACAACGTGCGCAACAACAGGCGAACAGTCAACCCGCGAGTCCGCGTAGTAACAGCAAGAATTAACCAATATCCAATACCACGACTCTCAGGGTCGCGATACTTAAGAGATTCGCTCGCTTTGGCGCGCGGCATGAGCGAGTGCTTGTTAGCTTCCTCAGTAAGTCCGATCCATCATGATGGTTAATGACGACGGTTTTAACAGTATGACTCGGAAGTTTTGATACGATAGAGACTGATGTGCGTATGTGTGTGTGCGTCACTTCGCGACGGAGTGCGAATCACTGTCTGTTCGAGACGACAAAGATATATGCAGAATCAACGCGACGATGATTGTTTTGATGTTACGTTTATCGAATTAATTGTTAAAACAATAAGGGCTTTGTATAGTTGGTTAATTCTTATTAGAGAGTAAAGCAAAGGGAATTCGTAACATACGGTTCACAGATTTTTTCATCTTTTATGAGAGTATGAAACAACTATATTGCTATAAGATTAATTGTACTTTAAGTGAGCATCACATAGTAATTTCGACTGATACATTTTTAAGTATCGTTCCGTGATACGCAAGGAGGTTTTTTTTTCTGTGGAAAGGTTTGTGAAATTATTTATGCAATATTATATATTCCTTTACGAAATGAACGGTTTCTTAATTTGTTTAATTTTGCTAAACATCTTTTTTATTTTCTTACCACGATCTTGTACATAATGTGAACTATGCTGTGTTTTATGGTAGGAAGCCACAGTATTTAGGAAATCCAATATTTATGTTGATACGTACATGATGAACCGAACTTTTATTTCCATTTTTGCAAACAGTAAGAATACAATATTTTTTCTCTCCTGGGACTTCAAACCTTCCATCGCCATAAGGAACTGATAATTCAACGAGACGGATGATAAACTGAGAGAACGCAATGCAACATCACTGTCTACGAATGATTTAAATATCTCTCGTAATGCGCAGCCGAACACTAATCACGCAAATTAATGAGCAGATGTTAAAATATGTATATCGTATGCTTATTTACATTTAGTTCCGAATTTACGTTTAGCGTCGAGCGTAATTGCATGTCCGGCGATATGTCGTGATGCACCTCACAGCAACGACACGTGATAAGGAAAAGTGAAAAGTGTATAATTTATTCAACTGAAATCTACGTGCTAGTCAGATTCCCAAGGACGCACAATGACGTAAAAGACAAACGGAATAGTCGAGTCTTTTTTGACGAACCATGCATAGACACACAAATAACACATACACGAAAGAATATACGTGAGAGAGAAAGAAATTTTGATGTGAGAGAATGAGATTGCGTGGCTGAGAAGCGCGTGTTTAAAAAGCAAGCATAAATAAAGTAGCAGTGATTAGTAAATTGATCTGCTCGAGACTAACATTAACACTTAAACTGTTCATCACGTTGCCAATAATTGAATGAACGCTAAATCAAACGCTAACGTAACGAGTTTAGTAACATTTTGTGCCATTGTCGTTTCTGTTTACTGTATAAGAAAAAAAAATTATATATATTCTACGTCATAAATCATCCCTTTTGTCCTTTTCTTACTACATATATTTAGTCAAGATACGATATATATGTAAGGATAATAAATATAATTTTATTATGAATTTGTCAAGGCGCAGCATTGAACTATTACGAGATATCGGAAAAATAACTTTTTTTTTAACGTTCGATGTGAATACGAATATACCGAACGTAAAACAGATAGAGAAAAGTAAGTCACTTACGGTAGAATATAAAAAATCTGATAATATCTCGATAATTCAGCGTGATGACGCGGTAATTTACGTCTCGGACACAATACGGCCAAATAGTGCCAAAGAAAATGCAAAATATCGAATGAATAATAGAGTAAGGAGTAATTTGAAAGGGAAAACACGAGACAGATGTACTGTATTTCTTTTACTTGGTGCCTTTGGCGTCGACGCGACGGAATTTGATTGAAGATTGTCTTTCAGCATCACCTAGAAACAATTTTGCGGATAACACGGTCGAGATTATAGAGGAGGAAAATACACAAAGTCTTCGACTGTTGCCGACGTCGTATAAATGAACACTACTTCGCGATAAAGAAAAAAAGAAGAAAAAGATCTTATTGATTATTCTCGTAGCATAGAGAAATTTTAGATGAACTCGATATTTTTCCCATTCTGCGCTCCGAATAGAATCTCGAAAGTACATTTCACGAATAGATGTTTATTTCACATGCGAGTATTAATTACTCTACGCTTGTGCGACGCTTTATTCGAGATGCTGAATTGTCAAATTATTGTCGAGATAAATAAACGATGTTCGTGGGTAGCCTCTCGTGGGAAAAACGAGACGGATTCTCGTTGCGCAATTAAATAACCGATATTTCGCGCGGCGATATTCTGATTGGAAGATTTAATCGCGCCTTTAAATCTGCGGAAGATTCAAATACGCCATTAAATAACCATCTGCAAAATCAAGTTGTATCAAAAAAGAAGGCTCAACGCGGATCGTTAAATTTGCAAAGATCAATTTTTAAATATATATGCGATATTTATTTAAAATATGCATCTTGCGAATCTTTTCTTGCGTTGAATTTGCAATTTTCGATATTTGAGCGCTTTGGCGATCTATTTGACTTCACGTCGATTTAGGGCATGGCCTGTGTGACATGTGGTTGTGTGTATATATATACATATACGAAATAATACTTAGAACGTGTAATTATATTATACGTAATATAATAATTGATATACGGATTAGGTAGCTCATCGTCACTGCCTGCAGCGTTGGTCGTGCTGAGGATACGAGGCTCTCTGACACAGCCAGGCTCTGCGTGGTGATAGTGTTTATCGATTCGCTTGTTCTGTTAAGTTTTACGAGCGTTATTATTATTATTATTATTATTATTAATAATATTATATCGGTACTCGACTTGCGTTGTAATTGTAACTCGATGCGTGTGTGATATATATGAGGATTTGGCGGTGGGCGTTACGAACGATCCTCAGCGACAGTCTCTCCTTTCTTTTTCGAACGCGAAGCCGGATCGTTCGGTCGTCCACGGAGAAGCTATAGGATGTAAGCCTCCTGCGTTATCATTTTAATGTTTGTTAACATCCGCTGTTAACTATTCCGCGAGCATAATAAATTTCGTCGTTAAGCGTTTCTGTCGTGCCCCTCCAGGTGCACCGCTATCACGTTTCTTCTTCTTCTTTTTTGCATCCGGCAGTTTGCAAATCGCAGTTTTATTCGTCCGCTTTTGCGCGCAATGCGAGATGTCCCAAATCGGTGCGTTAATTATCCCTCGACTATTCGAAGGTTCGACTATCGAAAAACAAATTCCATGTGCGTGCGCGATGATCGACTGACAGCGCGACTCGTGCGATCCGCTAAACGATACTTTATTTCTGAAATTTGAGAAGTAATTAACATACTTAAATTCGAGATTCAACAGCGTGGCAAAAGCTCAACTTGGAAAAAGTTGATTTCCTGAGAAAGTATGAGTGAATGGGCGCCGTAATTATTTATGAATGAAACAAAGAATGTATTGTAATTACTAATTATTGCGTCTAATTATTGCGTCTTTGTTGCTATGAAAATTTTACATATGTTCGATTATGTTTAATATATATCATATTTGACATATTAAAGGGGCGTGAGACACATCTTTTCTTGCTGCGAATTCGATATATGTAAAAATCTGGAAAAGCTTAGTAAAATTTTCAAAGAACGTTCCTTATAATATGTTGCATTATGTATTATGAATCATGCAGTTTAATTTTTAGTCGAGGAGAAATATTCTGTTTTCGAGGCCGATTTTCCAAAACTAAAACAGACGTAATCCAATCTAATCAGATTCTTAGGCCGATATTCATAATCGATTCTTATTTCAAAACCGTCTTAAGTAATGTGTTATAAGATGCTAATACGGCTCTGTGATTGTTTTTATCATATCTTAAGACATTTAAGACAGTCTTAAATATAAGAATCGATTATGAATATCGGCCCAAGAATCTGATTAGATTGGATTACGTCTGTTTTAGTTTTGGAATTCGAATGTTCCGCTTTTTTGCCCTGAAGCATCATGAAGTTGACGTCGATGCACGAAATCACATAACTTCAAATCGAACGGATCTCACGCAAGTTCAGTCCGTTCGCGACGCATCTTTGAGTTTATCTTTCGCACGTGTGCTTCAATAATGCGTGCAAAGAAGTGCTTCCTCGAGCCACGATGTCGTAGATGTGAGTACTATCGTTATTCATCCCGTTAATTACGTTAATTAGCGTGGACAATATTTTGGTAATTATGAGCGCGACATGCGCCTGAAAACGAGAGATCTAATCGAGATTAATTATTTCGCCATAGAGTCACACACTGCAAATTAATGAAATGTCCAAATTACCGAGAAGGAAATGTCAAATTTCTATTACTTATAGTCGATTTGTTTGTAAATTGCGTGGCAATCTTGTGACAGTTATAATTACGACCGTCCCGATAGTGGATCCTCGAGATCGGAGCTGTTCTTCATTGCATTTGTGTCGTAAGCACGTTTATCGTTGTTAGACGTTCCCTGGCGAAAAAATTTTTACGAAAAACTACATAGATTGAGACAATAAGACACTTTAACCCAGATAGCAACGTGTTTGTCTTGTTGCTGGCATATTGCTTGCTAAGGCTGCGTTTCATTATTCACTGTCAGTACTGGCAGCATTGCACATGCCATTCCAAAATATATCGCAGTAAACTTCCAATATACTTTTGCGTTTATATGACGTCATAAATTTTTGCGTCACTTCCTATTTCTATTACTGCGACTGGCGAGGTCAGGTAATCGCAGTAAAAAGATAGCGAAATTCAACGAAATGGGAAATCAGGAAAAAATTTGTTTTTTAGATGTCGAAACGATAATGTCAAAAAGTTATGACATATTAATGAATAAAGTAGATGCAGAAAAAGCACGCAAAGATATGAATATAATTAATTCCAAATTTTATCAAAATTTAAAAATTATTTATTTCTACAGTCCTACCAAGTACTACTAAATCCGTTTCGTTATGCAACGTTGTAACGTCATAAAAGTATTATTAGTAATTTCAAAACGCTTCTGCAGTACTACTTTATGACGTCATATTGTCAGTACTGACAGTGAATAACGAAACGCAGCCTAAGTATGCATTCCCAGCAAACGAGAACGGATTGGATTGGATAAATCCGTATGAATCAAGTTTTCGAATCCGCGTTATCCGCGAAAAAGGTATTGAATTTTGTAGACTAAATATACTGAATCCGTTTCTATACGTCTAGATAAATATAATAATGTGAACTCTAGTAGGTTCATATAGATTCAGAAATGAAATGCTAGTCTGCGATCCCATCAGAAAGTGATTTATCGTTGGAAAGCACTAATATGATCACAGATATATGAATCGTTTCTTTCAGAATGAGCCCTAGTATTATACACAGAATATACATTACAGATTCACGGTAACAGGGTGACTCCCGGATATAACCCGCACTGTCGTGGCCAGAGTTATGTCTAGAAATTACCTTGTCGCTGTGGATCCGCAATGTTACACATTCTGTATTTTTTCTCTGTATATCACACCGGAGTTTTTGTTTGGGAGGCAACGACTTAT